GTACCCCTTCAGTGGGTCTATCTAAAAGACTCCCAAATTGTATAACTCTTATCACCACATGGAGGCAGCATCCAGGCGCTCTTGAGAAGTCTCCAGAGTTCTCAGCCCCCATGCCAGAGGGAGGCCGGAATAGGCACTCTGGTAGTCTGCTGAGATCTCCATGTGTGTTTTCTGATTAATCCAAAGACATGACTTTTGGACTTGAAAGATTCTTAGGGAATGAGTGTGGATGGAAGTTATCTAATCCAGCAATTACCAAGCCTAGGTGCCCACCAGTTTCATCTGGGAGCACTTTAGACACTAACAGGAGAAAGGGCCCTTCTGCATGCACACTTCTAGATGTGCCAAAGTGGATCCAGAGTAGAGTTCCTCCATGTCTCCTCTCAGAACAACCCTCTTTCTTATGTCTCTTCCAGAGAGCAATCCACTTATGTGTAGATGCCTGTGTCCTGTGCAAGCATTGACTCCTGTCACTCCATGTCACTCTGTTCTCTTGTCTCATTTTGTCAGTGTGACTTAGATGATCCTATTGTCCATCAGCATTTATGGGGATTTGATTCCAAGACCCTGTATACAGCAAAATCTGTGGATGCTCAAATAGCATTTTTAAATTATTTTTATTTTATGTGTATGAGTATATTGCTTGCATGTATGTAAGTGCATCCACATCATGCAATGCTCGAGGAGGTCAGAAGGGGGCTTCAGATCTCCTGGAACTGGAGTTACAAATAGTTGTTAGCCACTGTGTAGGTGCTAGGAATCGAACCTGGGTCGTCTTCAAGAACAGCCAGTGATCTTAACCACTAAGCCATCTCTCCAGCCCCTCAAATATCTTATATAATATTGTATGGTATTTGGATACAATTTATGTGTATCCTCCAGCATACTTTAAATAACCTCTACATTACTTATAAAATCTAATATAATAAATATTCTACAAACACTTATTATACTGTATTGTTTGGGGAGTAATGACAAAGAGAGAAGGCTTCACATGTCCAGTACAGACACAGGTTTTGTTTTTTGTTTTTTAACATTCATTTCCAATCTGAGATTGGTTGAATCCACAGACCTGGAGCCATGGATTTAAAAGGTTGACTATGGGACTGAAAAGATGGCTCAGTGCTTAAGAGCACTGGATGCTCTTACAGAAGACCCATGTTCAAATCCCAGCACCCACATGGTGGCTAACAAGGGACTGTAAGCAGTTCCAGAGGATCTAATGTTCTCTTCTGACTTCCATGGGCTTTGCATGATATGGGTACACTTACATGCTGGCAATATACTCATACACAAGAAATAAAAATAATAAATAAAAATTTTTTAAAAGAAGGCTGACTACATGTCAACACACTAGAACAAGAAGATATAACTGGTCATTTTTAATGTTGCTTAATATCCCCTTGTATGGTATTGGTCACTTTTTGATGGACATATATAGCTCCAAACGTGATAAGTCAAACAAAATGGCAGAAATTGTCCTAATGTATTCATACATTCCTTTATAGGTAAATCTTCATGTAATTTTAAGGATATCAGGAAAACTGAAAATGACACACCCCCTACAGCCTTCTCAAAGATAATCTGATTCTGATGGTCTGGAATGCCAGGAATCTGAATTGGGAAAAGCACCCAGCAACTCAAAAGGGCACCCACATCTAGAATCTGTTGGTTCTGCTTGTAAAAGAGAAGTGTGTTGTCCTGCTAATAATCTGAGTGCACAGTGCTGGGGTCCTGACTCCTGTCTGTTCAAGCCCATCACCTCCAGGGTCCCTGTATTGGATATGTGCTAACAGAGACTCTAACATGGGGGGTGTGAATAAAACTGAGAGGAACTAAATGAATTGCACTAGTTGGAAACCTAGGAAGTCTCAGACCAAAAAAAGCTCCCAAGGACAGCAAGTTGCTGGTTTACATGAGGCCTTGGGTTGCCCAGGGGAGCTCCTGTAGGGACACTTCAGGGTCAGGCCACAGGCAGGGTTTATCATGTGTTTATATGCATTCTAGAACATGTACCCAGTGTTCTGCTGAGGTGGAGACTTTAGCATTATAATCAAGGTGGACACCATCGTTCAAAAGGGAGCTGCCTTTTCTATATTATACATTCTCTTTACCCCAGTTTTATCTGGGCCAATGGTTATGGTCAGCACCTTCCATGTAGTGCCCCATAGGGCCTTTAATTAGGTTCAGCAAATCAAACCTACCACAACAGATTAGTGAAGCAAAAACTACAGGGGTAACAGAAATAGATATACTGACCTTAGTGTCTTAAGGAACGTCCATCCTTTCAGATCCAGCCTGATCACTGCAGCACCCAAGGAAGGGGCTTTGTGTGGCCACAAGTAGTACCCGTGCATGTGTGCCTGACACTGTTCATGACCCAGTGACCAGGTATTAGTTATACTGACCTTAGTGTCTTAAGGAACGTCCATCCTTTCAGATCCAGCCTGATCACTGCAGCACCCAAGGAAGGGGCTTTGTGTGGCCACAAGTAGTACCCGTGCATGTGTGCCTGACACTGTTCATGACCCAGTGACCAGGTATTAGTTACTCTTGCATTTGTGGAACATAGTTCCTGACAGAAACAACTTAAGGAAGGAAAAGTTTATTTTGGTTCACAGTTTCTAGGGGCTCCAGTCCATCATGGCGGGAAAAGAATGTGAAGCAACTCAGCGCAAGGTGACAGGAGTGTGTGCTGGCTGCTGTTCACAGTATGGCAGAAGCAGAAAACAACTGGAGCCAGGGGTTGACTGTTTTTAACATTGAAAGTCTTGCCCCCAGCGGCCACTTCTGGGAAGTAGGTCCCACCTCCTAAAGACTCCACAGCCCCCAGAAATAGTGTCATCAGTCAGAGAATAAGCATTTAAAATACAAGTCTACAGCCGGGTGTGGTGGTGCATGCCTTTAATCCCAGCACTTGGGAGGCAGAGGCAGGCGGATCTCTGTGAGTTCAAGGCCAGCCTGGTCTACATAGTGAGTTCTAAGACAGCTGGGGCTACAGGGAGACCCTGTCTCAAAAAGACAAAAAAAAAAAAAAATACAAGTCTACAGAGGACATCTCAGATTCAAACTACACAGACTGTTAACCAAGGGCCTTGAAGTCAGTTAAACCCAACCAGTCCCAGCTCTGTGTGATTTTATCATGTTTAATATCTACAGGGCACACAAGAGACAGCAACAGTGACTATATCTGCAGAGAAGATTTGGCATGTGGGAATCAAAGTAAGGAAGGATTCTTTATAATGATGAGCATAAGCATTATTACCTTAAAAAAATCTGTTGAGTGAAAAATATAGAAGACTATGGCTATCCAGGTCTAGAACATTCATCATTTACATGATCTTAAGCAAGCAGTTTACCCTTTCTGAGCCTCAGTCAGGGGCTGCAACAATGTTGCAAAGTCACAGTACATGGTAATGAGTTGTGGCTGTGAATCATTTGATGATCCTCTAAGGAGCCTGCAGTCAGCAGCTGAGGCAGAGAGACAGATGAGGCTGCTACCAAAGGTCATAAGATGGAGAAACAGAGGCCTTGAGCTTGAGGCCAGTCACAGCCAGGAAAGGGACAGACTTCTTCCTGGACACTCTAGACCTCCTCCATCTTCCTGTGGGAGGCCACCTTGCTGCCCCGACCATGTGAGTTATTCAGGGGGTGTCCCCTGCTTCTGGCCAGTGCCTGGAATCAGATGAAGAGTCACCTGTGGACACAGACAGCGACACTCACCCCCAGACTCCATCAGAGCCTGTTGTCTGCCTGAGAGACCAACTTCCAGATGGGACTGAAACCCACTATGGCTGTCCCATGGCCAGCCAGCCTGGGAGAAAGGTACTTCCTGCCTGTCAACCCAGATAATCCTAGCTGGCCATGTCACAGGATAACCAGAGTTTAGAGAATAAACACAAGGCAGAGGTGCAAGATGGCTAGAAGTCCCCTGCAAATTTTCTTTACTATGAGGGGAAATGGAATATGTTAGAATATTTCTATCAGAACAAAGATAATGGCTGAATTTCTCCCTTTAGAGTCCTAAGGATGGATGGTTCTCTTGAAAGAAAATCTAAATCTGAGATTCTAGGAGCATGTCTGGGAAGCACATATCTTTTGCTGCTTCCTTCCAGCTCAGACACACTGGGGTCTTTGAAAGCTTAGTGCTTTTGAAATGTTGAAGAATCAGGTGACCTTGGGGGAACTGTCACACCTGGCACCACAACCTTTGCAGTAGCTGCCTCTTCTCAATGGCACAAGCTCTCTCCTGCATGCCTCAGCCCTCACCACTCCCTAGCAGCCACACACAGACTCATATGGCTATTTTGGCCCCTCTTACATTCTTTAATCTAGCTGCCATGTTAAAACCCCAGGAAGAGTCCATGCAAACCCAGTGCCTAACTCTGAAGAACCTCTTTGATGTTGCCAAATGCTCTGCTTCCCCATTCCTGCTTTCCATCTTTAATTACTGGCAAATCCATTCCTCCAAGATCACACTGGCTGCAAGCCTGAAGCTCTACTGTTTTAGGACTCTTCCATTTGAAGAAACCTGCTGGCTTCTGTTTCCATAAGACTGATAAGAGGATGGTGTTCTCTTCCTACTGTCTCTACTGTTCATAGTTGTAGTCTTGTAGGTTGACTGGGTTTACATCACATGGTATCAGAGAGGCCCTGAGAAGTCTGGAGGGTCAAAGATCTCCTCCTTCATACACTGGCAGTTGGCACAGGCTGACAACTGGGGATTCAGCTGGAGCCTTGGTGTCCCTTCATGTGCCTCTCTTCACAGTGTGATAGCAAGAGGCAGTCCAAGAAGGGAAGATGGGAGCTGTGTTTCTCCTGAGGTCCAGGCCCAGAGAGTGTGACTTCCAACATATTCTAATATTGTAATAATAATATAATAATAATAATACTAACAACAGGTAGGTGCATCCTGGAGGGATCCCAGAGGGGAACAAGTAGACTCTATCTCATGACTTGAATATGCCCCTCAAAGGTAGTATGATAAAAGTTCTGTCCTCCTAGCACTTTCACAGATCCTCCCTTAGTGGGGCCAGGATTTGGTAGCTGGTACTGAGAGAAAACCCTTGATTACATCCTTGCCCTGATACTGTACCACTGGCACTTGTCTCTTAAGGGAAGAGAGAGAGAGAGAGAGAGAGAGAGAGAGAGAGAGAGAGAGAAAGCTCTGTCCTCAGTGGAGCAGTGCTGAAGAGATGGAACTGAACCTTCACGCCCATGAAGAGACAAAGACTAGTCTCTGGAGTGAGTGAGTTCTCATGAGAACTTTGCGCTCTGTGTATGGCCACAACTTTCTCCCTTTTCATTTCTCTTCTAGGTCCTGAAGCAGCCAGCAGACACTGGCTAGGCTGCCATTCCCCTTGCTGTTCATATTCTCTTATGGAACATAAGCCTCTACATAAAGTGCCTAGCCTCAAATACTTTGTAATAGGAACCCAATTGGACTAGAATGCAACATCTTCTCATGCATAAAAGCAGTCTATGAGGTAAGAGATTATATTGAAACCACTTTGGAAGCAGAGTGTTCCACAAATAAACTTGTACAATGCTTTGTGTACAGGAGACCCTCATCAGTATTAGTTTTCCATCCATCCTCACACATTAAGTATCTGTTGTGTATCCCAGATCTTTAAGTATTGAGAAATTGGAGATGGCTGCATCCATGATGGGACTCAAAGTTCTGGGTGGGAAATGGGAAATCAATACAGAAATTATAGGCCAATATAGCAAACTTCTTTGCAAGAAGAATGCATAGAGATTGGCAGCTAGGATCCCATGGGGCCAACAGGATTGGCTAGAGAGTTGCTAGCTCCAGGTTAGGGGAGATGCTTTCACAGAGTCCTTGGATTACAACAGGGTGCCTGGACTGCCAGAAGCAGATTTCCCATTGCATGAGATCTGCCATGCACGGGACTTTCTCCCTTTCCACTTCTCTGCCAGGTTACAAAACAGCCAACAGACCCAGTGTAGGTGGATGAAGAGAAGATAAAGCCGCAACACAGAGGTGAGACACCGGATCATACCTGTTCAATTTGCAAGTCCAGCTGTGCCTGAGGTTTGCCTTTGACTTGGGTTCTGAGCGCCAAGGTTATTTCCCTTCAGGCCAAAAGCAATATGGTTAAGATCACCAATCCTTTTTGCAGAAAAGAACCCTGACATTCTGTTCACAAGGGTCTCAAGGTGTGTATTCTTTACCTTCCTCGTTTTTGTGACCAAATACCTGAGAAGAAGCAACTTGAAGAAAGAAGAGTTTATTCCAGCTCACGATTTGTGAGAGGAGTCCATCATGGTGGGGAAAGTTGGGCAGCAGGAATGTGAAGCAGCTGGTCACACTGCTCAGTCAGGAAGCAGAGAGATGACACTGGCATTTAACCTGCTTTTTCCTTTGTAGGCAGTCTGGAACCCCAGCCCATGGAATTGTGCTGCCCGGATTTAGATAAGTCTTCCCACCTCAGTTAACCTAATCTAGAAATTCCCTCCCAGACAAGACCAGAAGTTTGTCTGCAAAGTGATTCTAGATCCTGCCTTATTGATAATCAGTATTAACCATCACAAGATATAATGGTAGAGACCCATGTATAAGCAGATATTTATGTTTGTTGTAGGGGTATAAAACAGATATGCAAGGAATGTTAGGGAAGGAAGGGTTAAGCTCAATTTCTTGGAGGTGGGTAATATTCTGCAATATTTTCTCTAGCTTTTAATTAATTAATTAATTAGTTAGCTGGTAATACTAACAGATGCTTTATATGTACCAGTAGAAAAAAGGGTTGCGTCAACAAGTCTAATTGAGACCAGTTGATCTCTTAAATTTTTTATCTCTTTTAAATTAAAAAAAATTCATCTATTCTATATTTTACTTACTTCCTAACTTTAAATTCACGAGTTTTAGAAATAGCTGTCCTAGAATCTATACCATAGAAACAGAATCTCTTAGCAAAAACACAGTCTTTTCATAGATCTCCAGAGGTTAATGGGCCTGACATATCTTTGACATTTATTGGATTTTACGAGCTAGTGGATCTGACTTTGAAAGCTGATCAGACATTCCAAATTGGTGGCCTCTTTGGGGAGCTGTCTTCGAACGAGCTGTAATAAGGTCACCTTGGTTGCCTGAGTCAAGACAGACCTGTAAGATGTCAGAATGGTAGAAACTGTTAAACTGATCAAGGTCTATGTGGTACCCTCAGGGAACCTTCTAGCCTGAGTTACTCTGCCTACAGATTCTGCAATTCACATTCTTTCTAAGCCTGTCTGAATAGCTACAAGCATTAGTCCCTTAATAAAAAAATCCCTAGGTTGGAGAGATGGCTCAGTGGTTAAGAGCACTGGCTGCTCTTGCAGAGGACCTGAGTTCGATTCCTAGCACCCACATGGTGGCTAACAGCCATGACAGATAAAAAGTAGCCTATGGATGAATCTGGTTGATCAGGAGAAAGCACCAGGACACAGATAAAACTCCATTGGAATAGAGTTTATTAGCAAAGGTACACATGGGACAGATTCCCTTCCAGGCAGGGAAAATGTCTGCCCAGGTCAAGAGCTGGGGTCTTTTAAGGGGGAGGCTTCTGCTTCCTGCAGAAGGTGGGAAGATGTATTTTTTTAAGTGTGTAGGGGGGAGTGGGAGAGTGGGACTGTTAAAACCATTCTCTTTAGAGATCAAAGGGGAAGCCTGCTATGTTGGCCAGCAGTGGAGAAAAGTCTGTTTCTCTTGACTTCAAAGACCAAGGTGCTTATCAGCTCAGGTCCCTTTTCTCAGGAGCTTGAGAAGTCCCTGAGACCCTGTTGGTGAGGGGGTGGGGCTATCTGAGCCTTAACAAACTGTCCATAACTTCAGTCCAGGGGATCCAATGCCCTTTTCTGATCTCCGAGGGCATTGCACTGCATGGGTGCACTTACATACAGGCAATACTCCCACACATAAAAAACAAAATAGTAGAAAAAGTGTTAAAAATAAAATTCTTTCACTCATTTAACAAACATTCATGGAAAAATTTACTCATAATGACACTGAATAAGTGAACATTTCCTGGCACAAAAAACCCAGAGAAGATTGTGACATATCTCTTGTTTTCTACTACTTTTGAAGCTCCTGGGGGAATTTCCATGCACCCAAATCCTATCAGTGTGCCATGACAAGTCAGGCAGAGAAGAGTGTAAGACCCTAAAAGCAGGAGGAGTAAAAGCAAGCTTGTTCTCTGGGGCAACTAAGGAACCCTCTCAAAGTAGGGGGCATTTTGACTGGGTCCCAAAAGCCAAGCAGAAGCTGATCAGGTAGAGAAGAAAAAGGGCATCCAAATGGGACATTCAGGGTCCATAACACACAGTCACACAAGGCTGCTGTTATCAGGGGATGTAAAGTAAACAAAACCAAAAAAGAAAATGTAAGGGCTAGAGAGAATGTAGAAAAAATGTTCATTGCTTTAGGGGTGGAAATTGCTATAGAGCTTTTGAGAAGGTAATTGGCAATATTTGCTCAAATTTAAATACACAGGCCATTTGACTCAGAGACTACCTCTGTAACTCAGACATATAGATATTAAAAACAAGAATACCAGTGTCAAAAACTACGTTTACACTGATTTTATTGTAAGCCCTGTTCATTGTAGAAGGGTGCAAAGGATTGCCTGGGTATCTGTTGATGAGAAACAGATAAAACTTGAAATTCCATAGAGCCTGAGGACAGGCCCTCTAGGAAGCACATTCCCTTCTTCCCCACTTCCTGACACAGGACTCCTGACATCATTGGAATCTTTCAAAGTTACAAGTGGATTTTGTATACTAATGCCATGGCTGGTGGCTGGCGGCCCTCTGGTGGTTTCAGGATGGGAGGATTGGGGCTTTTGACCCCACGCCTCAACCTCCAGGGAGGCAAATGCAATTGAAGTTTGGGTTGATCCCTACTACTCAAGGATTTCATCCATCACATCTATGTAATTGAAGCTTCCATAAAAACCCTGAAAGGACAGGGTTCAGAGATCTTCTGGGTGGCGAAACATGTGAAGATCCCTAGACCAGGTGCCCAGGGAAGGCATGGAAGTGCTTCACCCATCCTCACCTACTGCCCTGTACAGCTTTTCTGTCAGTTCTCATTAGTTATGTCCTTTAAAATAAGCCAGGAAACATAAATAAGTATTTTCCTTGAGTTCTATCAGCGATTGCAGCAAATTAATCCATTCCAGGGAAGGAACTATAACAGTTAATGATTTATGTCAGAACCACAGGTAAAAAACCAACTGAAACTTATGACTGGCCTCAAATGGGGCCTATGCCAACCATCTGTGGGACTTGAGGTTCTTTCCAGAACTGAATTGGATTAGAGGACAGCCAGCTAATATCCACTGTAGAACTCATTGCTTATTTGGTGGTAAGAGGAAATCCCCACACCTTTTGGCAGCACAGAAGTCTTCTGTGCTGATCATTGACAAAATAGGAGAAACTGAGGTGGGTTTTTTTCTTCTGTATCCTCACAGAGCCCTGTACACCATAGAAGCCCTCTTCTACATCATAATAGGGACAAGTTAGTAAATAAAATGTCATTTTATGGGGCTGGAGAGATGGCTCAGTCCTTAAGTACACTTGCTATTCTTCCAGAGGATCCAAATTTGGTTCCCAGCATCCATGTCAGGCAACTCACAACTGCCTGTAACTCCAGTTCCAGGGGATCCAATGTCCTCTTCTTTGGACATCTGAATGTATATTCTTACATACAGACACACATAAAAATTTTAAAAACAAATCTTTTAAAAGCTATTTTATAAAGACACATTGCTTTAATATTTTAAATTTAAACTTATGAATATACTCACCTTTGCTAAGTAGAATTTCATGTTACTTTCTTACACAAACATTGTGTAACTTTTGCTTACAAATAGCAAACATTTTCTAAGCATTTGTTTTCATAGAAACAAGATACTCTTCCTTTTATAATTCCATTGATTTTTGAAATAGTTTATGAAATTACAGTTACATATGCAATGGTATAAATAGGTTTAAGGACCAATATAACCTGACTCTTAAAGCAATTGGATTGTAAAGTAATCTATGAAGAGAGCACTTCTAAATTTTTATGGATTCCTCCCGTTGTTAAACTACAGTATATTGCTACAACAACTTTCTCCTATC